CAGTCTTCACCGTAACAGCCGCGTGATCTCACGCACTCGTTCCGCACACGGCGACAACCGTAAACGCAGACAGCTCGCGGTGATTTAGGCCAAGTCGACCTTGAGTCTGCTCTGAAGCACAATCTCTCCTCCGCACTACCGCGAACATCGCCACAGCCGCCGCGACCGTCAGCAGCAGCATGGCTGCCGGCATGAATTATCTGCCCGGGAGAAGAAAGAGACCGACTCTGCAGAATTATTCCATTCAACACAGCCCCGATGGGCTGGGGGACTTCGTGGAGTACAGGCGGACACCGGCACAAAAGGCTACGTCCTATGAGGACGAAGAGGCCGCCAATGGCCCGGAGGTGCAGCCGTTTTCTTTTGCTTGCGAGCTCGCCCACGGCAGCAAACAGGTTCGCGTCTCCGGATTTACCAGTATACCGGACTTGTATAAGAGGATAGCGGAGCTGTTCAGAATTGAGGAGAGAAACGTGAGTGTTTAATCAGTTGAAAAGGATTAGTTTTTTGCCATCTTGACTGAAGAACCCATACATATATAGTAGATTCTGAATGGTCGACAATATGCGAGGCCCAGGCCCAGTTGAATAGAAGACGGAAAAGCGTTCTTTGGGACCAGTTGTTTATTTGACCGAACTCTCACGCGAGTCCATTGTCAAGGCATAAAAGAGTTTACAGCTCACTGCATATTTAGCTCAGCTCTGCCGGGAATGACCTTGAAGTCTGTTATCGATTTATTCACGCAACGTAAGGTAGGAACATCGGTATGCCTATTAATAGAATCCGCACGTGAGTGCTATGCTTCCTGCAGCAGGCGTGAAGTTCGGTCGTCTGACTGGCCTAGTATTCTTGCGTGTTCGAAGTCGAAGCCGTGCCCTGGTGAGGATGTCTGGGCGGCTACCAAGGCTAGCAGTAGATTTCCTATCTTATGAAATGTCAACCGAAACTTTGAAATATGTTTTTGACTCAAAAAAATTACTCAGGTAGAGTTTTAAGACTGCCTATCTTACAGCCTAATCTTAAGACATTTCCGTCCCTTCAGGATGCTTGTTTTTGAAGGTGCTTCCTTCTGACAGTTTGCAAAGGGTATATTCCGTGGAAAATGGCTACTTTGGTGGTATGCATTTCCTCATCGATTATAATTGCCCTCGTAAATTTAAATATATCTTATAGTAACCATGCACAAAAATATGCTTTCGTGTACTCGTTTGGTAGAAGATGACGCTTACTCGAAGAAGGGGTATCTTCAAGTTTTGAGAAAGTTTATAAATTGCCGAACAATGTTGACCCCTACCGGACGTTACACCTGAATACAAGATTTCCAAATTGCATGCAGTATATATGCTGCCTAAAGAAAATTACAAATTGTCCTATGCTATAAGGAAAAAGTCATACAGTTCTCATAAAATTTAACAATGGACTTGGAGCATTGGTCGCCATTAATAAATTGACGGATACGATAAATGCTGAATGGACATTTCACGGTCGTAAACAAGTTCATAATTAGAAACTTTTTTATAACGGAAGATACCCTTTCTTTAATTAAAATGTTTTATAGAAAGTGTGATTGGCTACCAAACGAGAACAATAAAGAATCTGTTTATGCACGTTACCTACAAAATGTATTTTACCTTCTAAGGGCAGTGAACATAAAAGGGAAAAGTACATACTACTTAAGTAGCCATTTGTTTTGCTGAATATATTCTTTGCAGATAATTTTAAAGAAACTTGGTCGTTAAATTTGGCTTCTCGCACGAAGATGCAATCATATGGGTCGCGTATTGTTTGAATCATGGTTCTCCGACCCCAGTCTATTAACAAGTACAATGACCTACCCACAGCATATTCGGTGTTCCGACGTGCTTCGCCTTGTGTACGAGTTATCCGTATCTGGTACTGTCTCTCGGATGATGCGTCCGAATTTTGACTCGAAACGTCAGGCGAATAAAACCCCTGTTCTAGCGATCGCGCCTCCTTTTTCTCAACTGCTTCCTGGAACTCGCATTTTTCGCTATACTTATTGTCCTAATTAGCACATTTTGCGAGTACTCGGCAGCCCTTCAAAAATTAGACCAGGCGGTATGCTACGTCTACTGCAAATACGCGAAATTGGATTTTCTCGTTGCATTTCCATGACGGTTTCTAAGGCAAATAAAGTATGCAAGGCAGGAGATTCTCTTCTAGCTCCCAGTCAACAACTGCAGTCTTTTACCTACACAAAACCCCTTCAGGTGGCGGGTCTCTGCTCACATGGAGTGAAATGAGTGTAAGCGCTAAAGTAGACAACTGGTTCCCTTCCTAGTTGATTGACACCAAATTCCGAATCAGTGAAATGTTATACTCAGCAGTAAATACGTTTGCTTCGGCGGAAGCAGGTTTCCGGTAAATGATTACACTAGACCACCCACTCT